ATAATAAATCTTCGTGTTAGACATATGGGAAGGAGATTTCAAATGCCGTGGGAATGGAAGAGTTCTAACCCGTGAGTAAAGTAGCATGTTCATCAGAAGTAAAGGGAACAGATGCTGCTAACAAGTTTTCTCAAACGTTCTACCACTGCTCCCTGGCCACCCTCTGGTCCTACCCACTGCCATTGATACATTCTCTGGCACTTTCTGATGCATGTTTAAGTCAAACTCCTTGAGGGCAGAAACAGTTTCTTATCACTCTTGAATAACTACCATTTAGCATAGTTCTTTTGGCACATGGTAGGTACTCAATAAATATTTGTGGAATAAATAAAATGCCAATATGTCCCATTTATTGTGGAATAAATAAAATGCCACTATGACCCATCGTAGAAATTCTACGATGCCAAGACAGACACTTAAACAGTCTATGAGGAAGTGAGTATGTATTTAAAACCTGGTGTTGTGATATCTTAGTTTACACACAAACATGGGTAGGAAGTGGCGTCTGAGGCAGGTGTCCGGTCCGTCCTTTCAGGGAAATGAAAGTCTGTGTGAAGCAGCTGGGAGGGGTGAGTATTTGAAGGAAAACAGTGTTCTCTAGTGTAAACCTACTTCTGTAGGAAAAATACTAGAGTAGATTAGTACAATCATCTTAAAGCATTCTTAGGAGTGATACAATCTGAGCTGAGTTTAGGCCCATCTATTTGAATATCTGTACAAAACTCCTACTGAAAAGGGTTTAACATTTTATCTATCAATATTTCTGTGTCATTTATTGCAAGGTTTATTCAATATCATGCCTGCTCCAGTTTGATAAGCAGAGATTGCAGCGGTGATCATGGCTTAGCCCAAGGCCCATAGCTAAGGCAAAAATGGTAACAGGTTGAGTCACAACACTTTCCTGGAACATGGCACCCAGAAATAAGCAGACTCCAAACACTGATGAGGTTGTTATGGAGAACTGCATTCTGATCTTAAATCCATTTCTGCCAAGAAGGGTGGATTCGAATTCTACAAGCTTCTTGGATTTTCACTTGGCACCTTATTCTACTGAGATGTTCTGAAAGATGCCAGGAGACTGGCCTAGCCGAAACTGAATTACTAAAATGCCGTGAAGCTGTATGTGCTCTGCTTATGATTTCACTCAAAGAATGTGATAAACATTTTCTTGAAAATATGCATTAGTAGGAAAAGACTAATTAAAACTCCACAATCAAAAGGTTCCAAACATATCTTCTGCACAGCTGAATCTGATGATTCCCTTTTTTTTATTGCCCTGACTTCACTCTGCTGTGTCAACTTAGACTTTCTTTGAAAAATCTTTCCCATAATTTCTTCTCTCGAATTTTTCAACTTAAAAGCAAATGTCATTTATTGCTGTTTTTAAATTTTTTTTCATTTAAAAAATAACATATACTCTCTAAAACATTAGGAAAGTAAAAAAAAATAATACCCATAGTTTTATCATGCAAGTCTTTTTTTTCATATATTTTTTCTACATTTTAGTGACCATACTTAATATAGAACTTTTATCCTGTTTTTGAAGTCATGATATAAATCATTTTATATATTATTACATATGCTTAACGAGAATGATTGGCTACATATCATGTCAGCTGCTACAGTTTACATCACTAATTTGCTATTCAATATTTACTTCATCTCCAATGTTTATTATTATTAATACTATGATAAACACAATTGTAAATAAAGTGTTTTTCAAATATAAGATTATATCCTTAGGATATATTCAATAGTTCCATTTTGCCATTTAAAGTGGTTGTAGAAGATATGAGATTGGTTGTTTCAATATCAGCCTTGGTTATTATAACTAAAAAATATTTTTGCTAATCTGATACGTGAGAAATGGTATCTCACTACTATATGATCTTAATTTCTTGGCTATAATCAACCTTTTGCCTATAACATTTGTTGCAAAGTTTTTAATTTTATTAGAGTTTGGACATAATTCAAAGTTGTATGAATTAAACTTTCTTGATATTTTGCTTTATATTTTTATATTAATGCATATATATTTCTAAGCTAAGAGATCCCTTATTCATAGAGTGCTAAATTTAAATTCAATCTGGGGGAATAGTTTAGAAATATTGAGTGAGGGCGCCTGGGTGGCTCAGATGGTTAAGCGTCTGCCTTCGGCTCAGGTCATGATCCCGGGGTCCTGGGATCGAGTCCCGCATTGGGCTCCCTGCTGGGCGGGGAGCCTGCTTCTCCCTCTGCCTCTGCCTCTCTCTCTCTCTCTCTCTGACTCTCATGAATAAATAAAAATAAAACATTAAAAAAAAAGAAATATTGAGTGATAATATATTCACCTGAATTTATTTTACCTAAAGATAATCATGTGATATCCTAAAACTGTACCAAATTGGTATTCTCCATATAAGTAAATAATCACCTCAGCATCATTTTTTGAGTAATCTTATGCTTTCTCATTGCTTTTTGATGCTTCCTTTATCATCTACTGAGTTCTTACAAATAATCAGGCCTGAAGACTGTGGCTACGCACCGACCTGCACAACTAGCTGGCACCACACACCACCCCCGCTTACCCCCTTCCCCTTCCTCATCCTCACAGGTGTTTGCTCGGAGGCTGGGTAAGTGCAAGTCACATTTCCAGGAGCATTCCTCAGGAGGCCCCACTTCTGACCTCTCTGAAGTTTACTCCTTTAGTGATTTCTAAATGTGCCTATCATTTAAATAAACACTCACCTGGCTCCTCTCAATCCTTCAGATATTTATTTGGCCCACATACCACCAAATGACTTGAAAAGACAGAAAAGCCCATGGAAAGAGCCCATTCCAAGGCATTCATCCTGAGCAGCTCAGGAATGGAAGTATTATAACCAGGATTCGAGAGTATTTCCTGCATTAATGACTTCAGCCCTGTGTGTGGGCATGAGGGGAGATGCAAGAGAAGTACAGGACAGAGTTCTTGCCTTGAACGGGGGTAATCTGGATGTGCATGCCTGAGATAATGCACAGGAGCAAGCCCACGGAGGTACACTTCATACTGTGTATACGAAGGAGAGGAACCACAGCAAATTTGGGGAAAGGGCTGGGGCTGGGAAGAAAGAACTTCCGGAAGTTCTTCCGGAGAATCCTCCCTGGTTTTATCTTTATCCGAGTTATGGTGCTATTTTCTCTTTTCTCTCCAGGTATCTTACTAACTGGGGGACCTTGGGTAGATTCCCTAACTTCTCTAAGTCTCAGTTTCTGCAGCTATAAAATGGGGTTAAGAATAGCAATTATCTCATGGAGGTTATTACATAATGTATGAAGAGTGCTCAGCACAGAGACTCAAACAGGAACGTTGTTAATATATGTTAGTTTCCTTCTTCACAGTCCATGTCTTTCCCCTCCACCAAGACTCGCTCTTAAATCGTTTATTCCCATTAGCATTTACTGTTGGCCAGTTTGGCCTTCCTTATCTGTGTCCCCTCATCAAGACAGTTTAAAATTCTGAAGTAAACATTCAAGAGCCATCCAGAAATCCTGGGGGATCTTGGGTCCTGGACTACACTTTGAGAAATCTCTCTTAATTTGGATTTTAGGACCTTAACAGCCCAAGTTGCCCTTCTTATGATCTCCAGAAGTCTGCAAGAGGTGAGGGATAGTCCAAGTTCTGCATTACATCTTCCCCGTTATTACCCAGGTGACCACAAGCATGACAGTGGTGTTAGATGGTTGTTTTCTCTGTGGGTTTTATCTGTTCCCTTCTGTGAAGAGATAAAAGCTGTCAGCTTGTGGAAGGCAGAGATCCCATCTGACATTCTTGGGTGGTTTTGTAGCACTGGGCTGGAAACTTAGTCACTTTTGTTTCTTTTGTCTCAAAATTTGTGTTCCGTATTATGTCTGAAATTTTCCTCTTAAAAATTAGATTTCTTTCTCTTAAAGACTTTTTAAAAAAATTCAAATATCCCTGAAAGAGATCAAAATCTCAATAATTATCAAGTGTTTACTACTGTTTACTGAAGGGACTGATGTGTAAATGAAAGAGCAATTGACTCAGAGTCTTTGGAGCAGGCTGGTGCTGGCTCAGTCACTAGTGTGTCTTGAACAGGTCACAAGGTCTCTGATGCTTGGTTTTCTTATGACCCTTAATATTGCTTTTCTCTCAGATAATGATAATCATAAAAATAATTAGCATTTATTGAGCACTTACTTTGTGGCAGGTACCATGCCAAGCCCTTTAAGTGTATTTTCTAATTTAAGCCTCACACAGACCATAGAAGGTAGGCACCATGATTGCCCTCATTTTACAGTTAAGGAAAATGAAATCTCAGTGGTTACTTTTTTTTTTTTTTTGTAAAGACTGGGGAAATTAGTACTTAAATCAGTTCTATGTGATGCTTACATTCTTAAAAAATTCTGCTATATAGTTATGAGATCCTCTGAAATGATTGATAAATGCTATCCTGACATATAGATGGAAATATAAAATTGTATTTGGGGAATAATCATTGTAAATTGAAGTAGGCAAGATTCAAAATATTCATATATTTTTCTTTAAAATTTCCATTCTCCTTTGTTATCGCAAGTAGGCCATGAGCAGTTCAATGGCAGGTAGTGTAAATATCTCTAAGCGCTATGACCCTATCACATAAGTTGAAAGAATCTTTTAATAGGATGTTAATTTGGGAATTTCAGCAGAGGCTTCAAAATACAATGAGACCAAGATGCAAATGTTAAAAGGAAATAGTTGAAAACCAGGCTATAAGGCTTAAAACTCTGCTCCCAGATCAAAGATATAAAGCAGTTGAGCTGTTGGAGATAAGAGAGGATTCTGCAATGATGAGGGCTTTGTAGTGAGTTGCTGCTGTGTTCTGAGTCCTGCTCCGCCCCAGTGCATGGGAGAGGACCCTGGTGTGGAGGGGTAGAGGTAGTGATTGACTCTCATATCTAGTCTAGAGAGGAACTTCAAAGCCTCCACTTGGGGAGCCTGGTGTTTGTCCTCTGTAGGGAAATAAAGTAGACTGATGTCAGACTCCACTTTTGGAAATAGAGAGGTTAAGGGTCAGGAGATGGGCTGGACAGCATTCTTGGCAGGAAACTCGGACTTGCTGCTCCTTTGAGACTGGCCTGCATTTCCAGAGCTTTCTCAGTCTAAAGGATTGTTTCTTGTGAACCACGCCTTAAAAAGAGAGCAAGTTTGAGATTATTCCTAAACTCTTGTCTAACAGACAACACTTTGACAGTGATCAAAATTGATATCATCAACAAGAGGGCAGATGGTACCTGGGGAAGAACACATCATCACTTATATAGTGTTCTGGCTGGAAATGCTCCACTTCATCAAATTCTGAAGAAATACAAGACAAATCCAAATTGAGGAACACTCTATAAACAAATGGCCTGTGTTCTTAAAAAATGTCAATGTCATTAAAGACAAAGGATGGCTGAGGAATTGGTATAGATCAAGAGACTAAAGAGATTTGACAACTAAATGTTACATGTGATCCTGAATGGGATTCTGTGCCAGAGGAGCAAACTGCTTTAGATTTTTATTTTATTTTATTTATTTGAGAGAGAGAGAGTGAGTGAGAGAAGAGTGAGAGAAAGTACGAGCAGGGCGGGAGTGGGTGGGTGGGTGGGGGAGCGGCAGAGGGAGAAGCAGACTCTCCGCTGAGCAGGGAGCCAGACTCGGGACTTGATCCCAGGACCCCGGGATCATGACCCAAGCCGAAGGCAGACGCTTAATGGACTGAGCCACCCAGGCGCCCCAGAACAAACTGCTTTAAAGAACACTATTTGGACAGTGGATACATTGGAATATGGGCAATAGATTAGATTCAAGTTTTAGATCAATGTTACATTTTCTGAACTTGATCATTGTACTGTGGATATACTGTAGTCCCTCTGGTTTCATTTTTCCACGACGGTTTTAGTTACCCTCAGTCAACTGTAGTTTAGAAGCAGGTGATCCTCCTGATGAATCATCCAAAGGTCAGTAGCCTAACACTACATCACAATGTCTGTCATTCACCTCACTTATCTGATCACATAGGCATTTTGTCATCTCCCATCATCACGAGAAGAAAAAGAGTGTAAGTACAGGGCGCTAAGACATTTTGGGAGAAAGACACCACATTCACATACATTTATTACAGTATATTGTTATAATTGTTCTTTTTATTAGTTTTGTTGTTAATCTTTTACTTTGACTAACTTATCAATTAAACTTTATCATAGGTATGCATGTATGTGTAGGAAAAACATAGCATATATAGGGTTTGGTACTATCCATGGTTTTAGTCATCCACTGGAGGTCTTGGAATGTATCTGCTGAGGATAAGCAGAGACTACTATATAAGAGAATCTCTTTATTCTTAAAAATGCATGAAGTATTAGGAGGTAAATGGGCATGATGTATTCAACCTATACTTAAGTAATTCTGGAAAATAAATTGTGTGTGTATGTGTATGTGTGTGTATGTAGAGAAAGACAATATAAACAGACATGGCAGGTTATAAAAATGCTAAATATGGGTCAAAGTTGTGTACTCTCTTTGTAATGGTTCTGTATTTGAGATTATTTTAAAATAAGAATGAAAAAGTCATTTTCTCAGCAAGACCTCCCACTAGCCAATGTTTGTTTTAACCTTGCCTCATACAACCTGTGCCCATGCATAGTTCCCCATTCAGAAGTGCTAGTACGCTCCAACCCAGACCTGCTAAATCCAAATCTTTGGGGATGGGGCCCAGGGATCTGTGTTGTAACTCTCCAGATGGTTCTTATACACAAGAGAAGTTTGAGAAGCACTGGTTTCGACTAGTCAGGAGCCATGCCTGGAATTGGGTATGGTGTTAATTCAGGCTGTTAGACGGGGGGAAGGGTGATTGCTCTCAGGGAGGTGACCACAGGATCTAGCTCACAACAATGTGAGGACAGATATGAGATTCTCTTTCTATATCCCCCCCCGATACCATCCACTATTCTTCTTTCAGCTTAGAGACCTCAAGTACACAACATTTTTTAGTCCAAAATTTCACATCAGGAAGTATCAACGACTAATGTATGAGAGAACAAAGGCACAGATTCTCCATAGAGAATATAGATCGATTATAGTGAATCGGCAGAGTTGTCCATCTTCAGCTGAGGTACTGAGAGATAGTAGAGCTTTTTCCTTGTCTCCATGGAGGATATTTTGGAGCGGAACATGCGAAGAGTGGTAGTGCTCATGAGAAAAGGAGCCCTGGCCTTGAATCTCCTAATTGGAGGCAGCTTGGTACTTGGTATGTCAGACTGGATCTGTCTGAGAAGGGAAAAGGAATTAGAGAGAGATGGAATGAGGGGGCCAGCGGAGTATTTTATATGCCCACTCTGGTGCAGTAAGGATGTCTGAAATCAGGGCTGGCTACATAATTTTCAGGGCCCAGTGCAAAAGAAAACGTGGGCCCTCTTGTTCAAAAATAAGAATTTCAAGATGGTGCCAGCAAAATACCAAACCAAGCATGGGGCCCGTCTAAGCCCTGGACCACGTGCTACAGCACAACCATAAAACAGACCCTGCCTGAATCTTCCATGGTCAAAAGGAGACCACACTTGCTAGAACTCCGCCCAAGAGGGTGGTCTGTCTGTGGGGTACACTGTCAGTGGTGTAGCTACAGCGTTTGCAAGAAGTCAGGCCAGGGGTAGTTCTCCCACTTCAAAGAACTGTGGGCTGTGGAAATCCTTCAGAGCTGCTAAAAACATCACCCATGAGCCCAACAGAGAGCTAACATTTGACACCTACCTGAATGAAACCAGTCAGTGTGGGCCAGACAAACAGCAAGAGTCAAGAGGACTGAAATCACATATCCAGTTCAGAATGGTATGTTTGCCCATTTCATCTGGATCCTACTTCCCTATCTCAACATAGAAGGAGCTCAAATGTGAAGATGTATGGGTAGGAGTAAAAGAATAGCTCCACACTCCCTTCCTCATGGCTGCCTCATTAAGGAAGTCTGGAAGAGATGGGACCAAGTTTTAAACTGACCTGGAATGGGGTATGTGTGTATGTTTAATAACTGAAAATAACTACATCCAAGGGCTATTCTTGAAGTATCATTAAAGAACAGAACATACAGATTTGATGTTGCAAGGCAGTGATTTAAAAACTCATATTTTATTTGTACCTAATGAGGCAGACTGCTCAATAAGCCAGTTACATATTAAAAATTATATTTAGTACAAGGAAGGGAATGAGGAGAGCTATTCATGACTCAGTTGATGAATCACAGATTACAAATCCTTTCACTTCTAATCTTGATGTGAGGGTATCCAAGTGAACAGTGAATATAAATCACCCTGAAAATATCTCTGATGGAATAACTTTTTACTGGACACTTATTTTTCTAATATAATCAATCTTTTGGGAGTAAACATTTCAAATATTATGCTATCCTGTATTCATTACCTATCTTGTAGATGTTTTAGGGCAATGATGACTGGGCTTCTGCTGAAGTGATTCATAGTCTCAGCACAGGAGACTCTTTGAATGCCATTTGGTTGAATTGATGTTTGTGACATCTACTGTTGTTCCTAGCAGAGGTAATAAAAATACTTAAGCATTAAAAAATTCCACATCAGGGGTGCCTGGTGGCTCAGTTGGTTAAGCATCCAACTCTTGACTTCGGTTAAGGTCATGATCTGAGGGTGGTTAGATCGAGCCCCGGGTGGGGCTCCTTGCTCAGTGTGGGGTCTGCTTAAGATTCTCTCTCTCCTTCTTTCTCTGTTCCTCTCCCCCTGCCCCCTGCCTCAAGTGTGTGCTCTCTCCCTCTCTCTCAAAAAAAAAAAAAATTCCGCATCAGTTATTTATTGTTACATTAATCTATTAACTCTTTATTGAAGCCCTAAATGAGGACTGCTAGGCCCCATAAGGGATAAAACATGAATTAGGCACTGATCTCATTCTCAGGAGGTAAGGCTCAAGATGTATGGAAATAACAAGAAGGCAAGGTGGAACATATTGAGTGGTACCTGAAAAGAGATGTGCCCTTAGACTGGGCAACTGGGCTCCTGCCCAGGGCTCTGAGTTGTAGAGGGCCCTATTCTGGACCAATGAGACATGCCCACCAGCAGCCCGAGTTTCCTTGCACTTCTAGAATATGTTCTGGGTATCTGAGACCCCAGAATCCCACACATAGATGGCTCCTTACCCATCTTCCCAAGTGTGGACTGCACATCTGGTGTGTGCAGGGGTGACCCAAGAAGTGGGCAAGGGATGACTGCATGCAAGGATGTAGATAGGACGAACTTGGAAATGTAGGCCAATTCTCCCTGTACTACCTATAACAGTTTCATTTGCAACTTTTAATATTCAAACTCTGTTATGAGGGTCTCCAATTACTCTTGCCCTGGAGACCCACAAATGTTAGGGGCAGAGTGGCCTGGCTATGGGAATTCATGTAAAGCGAGAAGTTGGCCTTGGCAGTATCTGAGAAGCCTCACTGGGGAAGTGGAGCTTGAACAGGCAGAGGTAGAAGGGAAGGAGGAGAGGAATTTCTGGCAGAGGGGGACATCACACTCAAAGACATGGAATTAAAAGTGCCAGTTTGTATGTGGGAAGTCTAGCTTTCTGTGAGGATATCAGGAGTGGAAGAGTAGAAACCAAGGTTAGAGAAGAAGGAGGAGATCAGATCATGGACCGCCCGGAATGCTAGGACGTGGTGAAGTGTCTTGTATTCTCAGCACAGGGGATCCATTTACATGGACTAATGATCACAACATCTAATATTCACTCCAGCAGGTTAGGGTCTTTGAACTTCCTGCTGTTCCCCCTGCTTATGCTCACTCTCTGTCAAATAAATAAAATCTAAAAAAAAAAAAAAAAAGGGTGATTGCTAGGGGTGCCTGGCTGGCTCAGTCAGTAGAGCATGCAACTCTTGATCTCCAGTGGTGAGTTTGAGCCCCCACATTGGGGGCAGAGTTCACTTTTTTTTTTTTTTATTTGACACAGAGAGAGAGCACAAGCAGGGGGAGTGGCAGGCAGAGGGAGAGGGAGAAGCAGGCTCTCTGCTGAGCAGGGAGCCCGATGCAGGGCTTGATCCCAGGACCCTGAGATCGTGACCTGAGCCAAAGGCAGATGCTTAACCAACTGAGCCACTCAGGTGCCCTGGTAGAGTTTACTTAAAAAAAAAAAAAAAAAGCAAAAGGTGATTTCTTTTGGAAGCTGGGACACTTTTGACCTTGCATAGTTACATGATTAGTGAGGAATTACTGTTTTACCCTACCTTCAGAATTCTTTTCAGTTCTACTCTAACACATTTTTCTGGTCTGAGCAGCTAGATATGAGGTATGGGATTGCTCAAAGTAGGTGTCAGTTGGGACCAAGAGCACAGAGGTCAAGTTAAAGAAAAAAAATTGCCAAACACAAGTGTAAGTTTGAAGAATACTTTTTGAGTGAGTCTCTTTTAACCTTACATTTTGTTCCTCTCCATCCCCCCACCCTGAGACTGTTTTTTTCCCACTGATTTTTTTTTTTAAAGATTTATTTGAGAGAGAGACAGCGAGAGTGTGAGAGAGCATGAGCAGGGGAGAAGGGAAAAGAGAGGGAGAAGCAGACTCCCTGCTGAGCAGGGAGCCCAAGGTAGGGATCGAGGGGGGGCTCAATCCTAGGATCCTGGGATCATGACCTGAGCCGAAGGCACACACTTAACTGACTGAGCCACCCAAGCATCCCAATAGGTTTTAACATAGTCAGAGTTGTACAACCATCACCACAATTTTAGAACATTTTCATCTCCCCCAAAAGAAAGGCGGTGCGATTTACTTACCTACTCCAAGCCCTTTTTATCTCCATGGATTTGCTTATTCTGGACATTTCATATAAATTGAATCATATATGATCTTTATGTCTGATTTCTTTCAATTAGCAGAATCTTTTTTTAAAATTTTATTTTGTTAATCACCATACATTACATCATTAGTTTTTGATGTAGTGTTCCATGATTCATTGTTTGCGTATAACACCCAGTGCTCCATGCAATGTGTGTCCTCTTTAATACCAATCACCGGGCTAACCCATCCCCCCACTCCCTCCTCTCTAAAACCCTCAGTTTGTTTCTCAGAGTCCATAGTCTCTCATGGTTCATCTCCCGCCTCCGGTTTCCCCCCCTTCATTTTTCCCTTCCTACTATCTTCTTCTTCTTCTTCTTCTTTTTTTTTTTTTTAACATATAATGTATTGTTTCAGAGGTACAGTCTGTGATTTATCAGTCTTACACAATTCACGGCGCTCACCATAGCACATACTCTCCCCAATGTCCATCACCCAGCCACCCCATCCCTCCCATCCCCCACCACTCCAGCAACCCTCAGTTTGTTTCCTGAGATTAAGAGTCTCTTATGGTTTGTCTCCCTCTCTGGTTTCATCTTGTTTCATTTTTTCCCTCTCTTCCCCTATGCTCCTCTGTCTTGTTTCTCAAATTCATCCCATCAGTGAGATCATATGATACTTGTCTTTCTCTGATTGACTTATTTCGCTTGGCATAATACCCTCTACTTCCATACATGTCTTTGCAAATGGCAAGATTTCGTGTGTTTTTTTTTTTTTTTGATGGCTGCATAATATTCCATTGTATATATATATACCACATCTTCTTTATCCATTCATCTGTTGATGGACATCTAGGCTCTTTCCATAGTTTGGCTATTTTGGACATTGCTGCTATGAATATCGGGGTGCACGTACCCCTTTGGATCACTACATTCGTATCTTTGGGGTAAATACCCAGTAGTGCAATTGCTGGGTAATAGGGTAGTTCTATTTTCAACTTTTTGAGGAACCTCCATACTGTTTTCCAGAGTGGCTACACCAGCTTGGATTCCCACCAACAGTGTAGGAGGGTTCCTCTTTCCCCGCATCCTCGCCAACATCTGTCGTTTACTGACTTGTCAATTTTAGCCATTCTGACTGGGGTGAGGTGGTATCTCATTGTGGTTTTGATTTTTATTTCCCTGATGCCGAGTGATGTTGAACACTTTTTCATGTGTCTGTTGGCCATTTGGATGTCTTCTTTGCAGAAATGTGTGTTCATGTCTTCTGCCATTTCTTGATTGGATTATTTGTTCTTTGGGTGTTGAGTTTGATAAGTTCTTTATAGATTTTAGATACTAGCCCTTTATCTGATATGTCATTTGCAAATATCTTCTCCCATTCTAGCAGAATCTTTTTAAGGTTCATCCATGTTGTAGCATGAATCAGTACTTTATTCCTTTTCATGATCAAATAGTGTTCCACTGTGTTTATCTATTCATCAGTTGATGGACATTTGGGAAATTTCCACTTTGGGCTTTTATGAATAAAGCTACTGTGAACATTTGTGTGTGTGTGTATATATATATATATATATTTTTTTTTTCATTTCTCTTGGATATATCCCTAGAGATGGAATTGCTGGGTCAAATGGTAACTCTATTTTCAACTTTTTGAGGAAGTCCTAAACTGTTTCCCAAAGTGCTGTGCCATTTAACATTTCCTCTAGCAGTGTTTGAGAGTTCCAATATCCAAGGAAAAACATTTATGACTTTGAGCAGTAATTGTTGAGCATCCATTACATGTATGGCACAGGACTACACAGTATGAGCAACGATAGAATGTAATAAACAAATGCCCTGGATAAACAGAAACCTCTATTTCCAGGGTCATCATTTTGTTCCATCTGAAGCTTGTAAATAGTTCATGTTCAATGTCTTCGAGGCTTCAAACAGTAATACCATTTGTGTAGACAGAGGAGGGTTTCTATCATGTAACAGCCATTTCTAAGTTGCTAAGTACCCTTTTCCAAAGGAGAACAGAGATCTGTCAGCTGCATGGTAGGAAGATGACTGGGTCCAGTTTATCTCAATACTTACAGGCTTTGCGGGGGGCATTTCCTGGATTCTGGGTCTAACACTCTATTCTTTTCTTTCCTGTAGGCTTTCTAAAACTACACATTTGACTATTAAGCTTATTTTTCTTTCATATTCCATTGTGTGATTATAAGTCTCAACCCAAACCATCTCAGAACTGACTGTAAGACGTGTAAGACGTCTCTGAACTATAATTTAAGTTTTGGTCAGTCGCACAATTTGACATACATCCCTCTACATGCCCCAGCCCCATTCCTCTGCCTTTCTGTAAACCTTGCTCTGTGGAGATTACTCAAGGTCGCAATTCTTTAATCAGTTTGCTAGTGTCATAACCCACGTTCAAAAGAGTTTGCCTTCTCCAGGTCTTCCAGAAAGGTAGGGCTTCTAAAATGATAAGATGAGGGGTACAAAAGCAACAGAGGTGTGGAAACGTGTCCTGCCCCCACTTTCGTGGCTGCTAGAGTTTTAACAGTCAGCAGCTTTAAATGTAAACACAGGAAGATTGTCAGTGAGATGATGACAGTGGGCTCAACCTTGGCTTGGAGTTAAGGAAGCACGGGAGGCGTGTCCTTGGAGACTAGAGAAGGTTCACAGCCACCGGTTGGCCACAAGAATTGCTGGCTCGGCCAAGTGACGTTTACCTCCATGGCGGTTCGCGTCCACCTGGACATCTGCTGACAGGTCAAGTTTCTCTAACGCCATATATTTGAGACAAAATCCAAAACCACATACTCCCAAGTAAATACAGATCCACCCTCACTCTCTCTCTCTCTCTCTCTCTCTCCCTCCCTCCCTCCCTTCCTTCCTTCCTTCCTTCCCCCTCTTTATTTTCTTTCTTTATTATGTATTTATTCTTTATTTCTATTTCCCCCCCTTACTTCAACACCGTCCTTTCCCTCGTCAGCAAATTACCCACCCCCACCCCACCCATGGACTCCGGCTCCACCTTTTCATCTCTCGGCGTTTAGGGGGCTCACTCCACCGCTCGCGTCCTCCGCGTCCTCCGCGCCCGCCTCAAGGCCAATTGTCACCCTCCCTGCCCCCTTAAGAGCTCGGGGAAAACGTCCCGGCCCCGCCATCCTTCGCTTTCCCCGGCGGGGACTGTCGCACGCCAGGTCCGGACGCTCCGGGGCGGCTATGAGGCGCCCTCTCCCCGGCTCGCGGCCCCCGCAGCCCCGCCAGCGCCCGCCGTACACCACAGCGCGCCGCCTCCCGGGTGGCCGGGCCTCCGCTCAGTCGCCCCGCCCGGGTCCAGCTCCGCCCCCGGCCGCCGCTCGCTGATTGGCCTCCCACCCCCTTCACCCGGGCTCCTCTCCACCCCTCAGCCCAATGGGCATCGCCACCTGGTCCAAAAATTCCCCCGAGGGGACCGAGGGGCTCTGCAACCACCAGCAGCCGCCGGGCGCCGGGGACGGCCGCGGTGGGGCGCAGAGCGGGGAGGGGACACGGAGGGGGGAGCGGAGGAGGCGGGAGGAGGAGCAAAGGTGTTGGAGAGAAAACTTCTGAAAGGAACAGGAAACCTGCCGGGGAAGTGGCGGCTGCGGCTCTCGGGGCGCCGGGGCTGCGCACGTCGCGGGGTGTCCGCAGCGGCGGCTTCGCTCCTGGTCAGCTCCCCCGGCGCGGGGGCAGGGCTGAGCCACGACACTCGGTCGCTCAGGCCGTGCCCTTCGCCGCCGCTGTCGGCGCTGCTGCCGAGCGCTCCGTTCCGCCTCTGCCGCGGCGGCTCCCCGGAGAAGGGAAGAGGAGGGACGTCTACTTTGGAGCATGAAGCAGCATGTCTGATAAAATGTCCAGCTTCCTCTACATAGGGGACATCGTGTCCCTGTACGCGGAGGGCTCGGTCAACGGCTTCATCAGCACCCTGGGGTAAGCCGGGGGGCGCGGGCTGGGCAGCGCCCGCGCTCCGTCTCCTGAACGGTCCCTGTCCCTGCTCGCGCCGCAGTGTCCCCCAGCTCCCGCCCGAGGGTGGCCGGGCCGCGCGGCTGGGTCTGCGCCCGCGGACAGCGCCGCGCGCTCGGCTCGCTCGCAGGAAGCTGCCCCGAGCGGCAAGACTTTCTCAGCAACCTCGTAATCTCAAGCTCGGAGACATCAGAAAAGGAGGAAGTGATTCAAAAGCCCCGAGACAGGCCCTGCGAGGGAGTCTTCGCTAGCTTCTCCATGGGTTGTTTTCGTTAAAATGTTTGTTTTCCCTTAAAGATAAAGCAAAACTGCACCTCTCCCCCGGTGTGCTAGCGACCACTCTCAAGCCCCTGTCCCTCGGGGCCGGGTTTGTAAGAGCAGGGGATGAAAGTCTGTGGCCTTGGACGTAAAACTCAAGCGATGTGGTGGTGAGCCCAAGTGTGGCTTTGCCCCTGCGGGGGTTGCTCACCATCCCCTCTCCGCTGAAGTAATTTCCTTTCAGCTTTGCCCATCGGGGACTTGCCCCCCGCTGTCAGGGGCAGCCTAGGTGCGAGCGCAGCGCTGTGACCCTCAGAGGTCTCCGAGGGCTTCCTGGGTTCCAGAACTCAGACGTGCTTTTCTCCTTCCCGGGCCTTAGCCCACTGAAATCCTGAATCTGTCCTGGAACTCGGCCAAGCGCACGGCTCTTGAGATTCGAGTTGATTTATGAATGGGGGAAATATGTATGTAAACATAACATGTGCTAGTTGGTTAAATAACACTTCCTTGATTACTAGCATTTTCTCTCTGTCCTGATTGTGAATACCAGTTAGCAGTTGAAATGCACTTGTGAATACCAGTTAGCAGTTTAAACGCACAAGGCAGTGTATTTTGATGCGCAGGCATTTTTTGGGTTACCTTCTGGTCTCAGTACTTCACACTGCCCCGTCTTCAAGATTTCAGGCTGTGGAACTGGTGTTTCCACTCCTGGCTGGTCACTGTTTTCTGCTTGTAGGTTTTAGGGCACATGACTGACATGCAGTGTCCTTGGACCGTGACTGCGAGCCCTATTATAACGGGGTGGTGCCTACTCGGCAGAGGACGAGGAAGTCACCAGTACTTACACCGTTTGTGTTAATTGTGCATCTCCCCTAATAGGAGAAAGAAGGGAGGGAGATATAATTTAATCCCTTTAAGGTCACTGTTAATTGTGAAACTGAAGTGTGAAAGAAAAATATATCAATGGCAAGTGCCTGTGTTGGGTTTGTAAATCATGAGCTACAGATTGTTCCTGACAGAATTCACAGTATAAGGTCAGTTTTTGCTCCCTCAACAACATTTTGCAGATGAACTCTGCTGCACTTCGCCTTTCCCACCATAGACTCTCTAGGTGGTAGTTAAGCAGGAAATGCTCCAGGGCCAAAATGTTTAGGGTCAAATCCTGGCAAATCCGCCTGTGAATCTTATGACTCTGGGCAAGTTACAGAATTGCTCTGTATCTCAGTTTTCTCATGTCTGAAAATGGGCATAATACTGGTTTCTATCTCATAGGGCTGTGTTGAGGAAGAAGGGAGTTAATATATGTAAAGTGCCTAGCCCAGTACCTGGCACGTAATAAGCACTTATGTGTAATAAGCACTTATGTGTTAGCTATTGTAATTATCACTACCTTTGTGACTGTGGGCAATAGTTACACTTGTAGACAAAATAATAAAAAGGACTAGGAGTAGAGTATAAAACCTGGATAAATAAAGGGCCATGTTTTTGTAGTGTCTTGTTCAGCATAGATATGTGTTTGTGTACCTATACTCACATAAGGCCAGAGATGGTAAATCAGGAAACTAAAACGTTAGTGGAGTCTCTCCTGTTCCTTCTAGAGATCAAGGAACTGAGGGGAAGAGAAATGAAGTGACTTGCCTAAGAAACAGAGGACAGTCATGCCCCAAGCTGGAACTGTAACCCTGTCTCCAGATTCCCAGCAAAATGTGGGTTTCTTCCGTTACACATTATAATCTTTAAGCCTTGAGAAAAGTAAGCTCCACCTTTAACATAGCATATGTTTCTAAAAATATTTATTTGTATTCAATATTTTTTGCTGGTGATTTGAAAGTTGAGTTTCCTTAGAATGTGTGTAGTATTATTTTTCTGTTAACAAACTGAGTGTCGTTGAGGTTAATAGGACAAGACCTCTGTACAGCTTGATTCTGCGGGTACGGAAGGATCTTTAGAAATGCTGCCCTTGGTGAAGCTTGGTGCTTTGATTGGATATTCTTTTCTCTAACTTGTGGAGCTAAAGATTCATCTTAAAGTTTCTGATTTCTGTTTTAGCTTTTTATCTACCTGACACTTTTGATAGCATGATGGTTTTTAAAATTCAGCCTAAGGGAGTAGTTAATGAGAACTTAGTTTACACAGCATTTCAGGGTAATTCTTGGTAAAGATATTTGTCTGCAAATTAACATTTGCTTTTAACATTTAGCACATAAGGAAGTTTTGGAGGATATGCATTATTATCATTTAGCTTTGGGAAGTTTTGCAATCAGGTAATGAATTTTTCTGCTAAAAAAAAATTAGTTTCACTCTATGAGAGTTTAGCAAGCTCCTCTTAGAGGTACTTCCTACTAGAAATGTGGGAGGATTTTCTTGGGCTCTGTGACCCAGCTTCTAAGTTTGATTTTTCAGTCTGTGAGAAATTAGAATGCCCCAGTTGCAAAGATTTGCATTTCCTCTTTTTTTTCTCCAGTTATCCTTTAACCAATAATTACTTGATGTTTCTGAATCTCAAAGTGTTGCTGACTGAGGTCTTGTTCTCCCAGCTTGTGTAGGTGCCAGAGGGGCCTAATTGGTATTTTCTAACTTAACTGTTCATCTAAAGATCTATTTAGGAAACACATATTGATTTAAGGAAAACTTTAAATCCTATAGAATGATGATGGTGCATATATTTTAAGTAAATCTTTTTACTGCTGGTACATTTTAAGGTTGTTATTTTTATTTTTTAGAAAAGAAGGGAGGCAGTAGGGGTGCCTGGGTGCTCAGTCGTTAAGCGTCTGCCTTCGGCTCAGGTCATGATCCCAGGGTCCTGGGATCGAGTCCCATGTCAGGCTCCCTGCTCATTGGGAGGGAGCTCCTCCCTCTCTCTCTGCCTGCAGCTCCCCCTGCTTGTGCTCTCTCTCTGACAAATAAATAAAATCTTAAAAAAAAAAAAAAAAAAGAAGAAGGGAGGGAGTTTTGGGATCTGCTGTACAATTTCAAATGTAGTGGTAATTGTTTTTTCTCCCCTTTAAAATTTTCATTATCCTGAAACTTACTTCCCTGGTCGTTGCCATATGTGACACTTCATATTTCTGGGTCCATCCATTTGACCAATGGTTAGATACCATACAGTGGGAATGAGCACAGCAGAACTTCCAGGACGGGTGGGATAGAATCAGTGAAAAGGTACTGAACTCCTTCATTGTCTATCCTCCACATGGTTGAGAGGTTAGTAAATGACATGTGTGCATAAGTGTATTTGTGTGTGTGTGTGTAAGTGATTGCTTCTTCACAGGGTCTACCAAGATTCAACACCCACTAGTTAAAGTCTCAGGAAACCCTCAGGTGGCATCATGGATGCAGTGATTACAAAGCATCATAATAATCTCTTAGACAGAGTGACAGAAGATTGGACCCCTTATTTTTGTACACTCTCGCTTGATTTTGGCCAATTCAGTGAACTTTTCAGTTCCTTTGTTTCCATGTTCAATGATGGACGTTAGGTAGGGTGGTGGTATGTCACACAGTTTATAATTCTGACTTCATTCCTTGGATGAATAAAACTTTAAATGTGTACCTTTTATTGTTCCCAATTATAGTCCCTTGAATTTCCCTTCCTGATCTTTTACTCTGTTTCATGTTTTGGATTTAAATGTGTGCAGATCTGATTTATTATTATCTTTTCTGTTTGTCATTGAATTATGCTACTCTTATTATAGCTTTAAAAATCTTTCTCTTCCTAGGACTGTCTGATCAGTGAAGAGTTAAGTAGATGAAACAAGGAATGGTTATAGTCAAGTGTTATTTTAGAATAATTTGTAGGTTATCTTTAGTTTTCCAGATAGAACCCTTCAAGTTAGCAGCCAGTATTTCCTGCTAGAACTAGCTATATAAACTTAGCTTTGTTTTGGCTAAGGCATATGTTATTGTGATAAAAATATCTAAAAATCCATTGAATATTTGCATGCGTGTTCAGTGGAGAGGAAGAAGACAGTATAATCTTGAATACTCGGTTGTTTTGGAAAGTCTAAGGGTTAGTCCTGTCACGTTATGGAACTTGAAATCTGCTCAAGTACAAAGACAGTTTC